CTCTCGACAATATGCATTTTTGCTGGCTGTAGCAGCGCTATAGCAGCGCTGCACAGCAAAAACGCATAAAAAGCCATTTTGTAGTGAAAAGAAAGCAAAAAAGAGACACAGAGTCGCAAAGCCAAATTTAGAAGATGAACTGACACCTGGGAAGGATGTGCAGGTCACTGAAGCAAGCCCGAACCTCACTGTGTTTTCAATAAGAAACTGTGACAAAACTTGGTGATAAGTATTCTGACCTTACCGCTAATACTTGATCCGACTATCGAGCCGAGAATATTCCATCAGTTTTGACTTTCAGGACGCGTAATTTCCACTCCTAGCTTAGGCAAACCAGAAATAAGAGATGCGGGAGGAGGAAGAGCGAGTGAGTGTGATAGCATTTACTGGAAAATTCATCTCCAACTTGCTTCCTGTTGGGAGTCCCCTGGTTACATGGCTCATTTTGCACTTTAAAATTTCTTGTTTGCCACTGTGTTTGGCGGAATTGTAGGCACATGTGCATATTCAGGTCTCGGAACAAAAGAAAAGTGCCTGAAATTCAAGCATCTGTTCATGAATCGAGAGTGGCTGAAAGGACATACAAGCTGAGTGACGGATGTCAGGTGTTGAAGCATGTTTGGTGAGTTGTAGTCGTGCCTGAATAAATGCAGCTCGCAGCTGGCAGCTAATTTTCCATCGCACTGCTTTTCGGCTAATTGCCTGGCACGTGCGCACAAAGATTCAAATTGCTAAAAAAATGTTTAGAAAATTAGATTCATATCTTTAATCAAACGACTCAAACTCTCGCTTTCACAATACAGCTTGACTTAAGATTATGCAAAAAAACTGAACCTTTGCTCATACAATAAAACTCAGTCCTTGCCTCTACAAAAAGCCGTAAGGAAATAGGTGCAGTTAGTAGACGGTATCTGAAAAAGGAGCACTGATTATTAATATATGAACAAACTGGCTGGAACTAATTTAGCCGCATCCGCATTCTTCGCATCCCAAGAAATCACCATCTATATTTGCAGAATATTTGCACACAAAGCCTGCTCCTGGAGCATTGAATTTATATAAAATTTATGGTTTACATGAAGCTTTCACTCAAATTTGCATGAAATTTACACAATTCACATAAAAATAAACGTTTTTGCCAACTGATAATTTTTAACAAACATAAAAGGAATGATTAGGGAATTCAGAGGGACTTCAGAAGAAATGGTAAGATAAGGTTAGGCGTTTTTGCGACAAATAACTCCCGTACGGCAGCCAAAGGCATTCTATGAAAAAAATTGCTGATTTTTTCCGGAAAATAAGAACTGAAACGGACCTGTGGCTCACTGGAACGCTCCAGTACCAATACTTCTTTCAGTGATCCATACTGTAAGGTAATCGAAATGCGCCGGTCCTCCCAAGTATCCATCGCATTCACGTCGTGGTTACCATTGGTAGCGGAATTAGCACTATTCGGTGTAGCGTTGTTCAGCATCATTTTGCTTAAAAAATCTGGAACTTATTCATCGAAATGTCTGGGCAGCAGCTCCATATTCCTGAATTACGAGATCTTGTAGGTGACAACACACCTAAGGAATATTGAAAGAAAAATCAGCCGCTCGCGCTAAAAACAACGTAGCCACATCACATCTCAAGGCACACTGTAACTGAAGGGTGGCTAACAGCTAGCTGCAGATTTTTGACCTGTATTGGTCTGAGAAACATGAAAATTCGGGTTCATAGCGTTGAGTTTCGAAGTTATAATTCCCAGCCCTTTTCAGAAGCTGAAATTATAGACCAAAGCACAGCGCTCGAAAGCTGATTCCAGATCATTCGTCCCACACTGTATGATAACGCAGACCACCGAAAAATCAAAATGCCAGCTTGAATATTGACTTCAATTCAACAAAAATAAGCAATGAGACCTGAAATTTGGTATAATGTTTGGGGTGCCAGCCAAGGCCGGGGAAAGATCTTTAAATTTCAACTTCCAAACTTTTGAGGATGTTGGGTTGCATTACTTGGAAGAGCGTAGACTACACCTCTGATATACGGAATGTGAATGAGCTGGTCGCATACACACTTACACACACACACA